GGCGAGGGGCCTGTAAACACACAGGCTGATTCATTAGTTTCTGACCATCTGCTTCCCGGGCCGGGGTGGGGGCCAGAAGGCCCTGTAGGTTGGAACAGCCAGCTTGGAGCCCCCATCTCCAGCCAGAACCAGCTGTGTCAGTCTTCCCAGTGACAGGCCAGGCGCAACTGGGGGCTTTGAGGGATACACTGTCCCCACCTCAACACCTCCACCCCATAGAACCCATCAGGGGCCTGGGCAGGGTAGGGCTAAGTAAGGCAGGAAGACAAAGAGAGACCAGGGAAAAGGTGGAAGTGTGGGTGGCTCAGCAGTTGGGGTTGACAGGAATACTATCAAGACTCAATAGGAGATATGTCAATATCACTGTCATTTGATTAATAGCCAATTAATATGATAATAATAATAAGTATAATTGAGTGAGTGGTTACTGAGGTCCAGGCCCAATATGGAGGCCTCACTACACCGTCCCCAGTAAGCACATTAACAACTCTACGATGGATGATGAGAGAACTGGGTTAAAAGATTGATTCAAGGCCAAGCGCGGTGGCTCACGCCTGTAATCCCAGCACTTTGGGAGGCCGAGGCGGGCGGATCACAAGGTCAGGAGATCGAGACCACAGTGAAACCCCGTCTCTACTAAAAATACAAAAAATTAGCCGGGCGCAGTAGTGGGCGCCTGTAGTCCCAGCTACTCAGGAGGCTGAGGCAGGAGAATGGCGTGAACCCAGGAGGCGAAGCTTGCAGTGAGCCGAGATCGCGCCACTGCACTCCAGACTGGGGGACACAGCGAGACTCTGTCTCAAAAAAAAAAAAAAAAAGAAAGAAAGAAAGATTGATTCAAGTCAGGAGGGCCTCCTGGAGGAGGCACATGTGGGAGGGCTCTGAAAACCAGGAGGATGGAGAGTGGCCAAAGGAGCACAAGCTCCAAGGTGGGAGAGGACGATGTGGCCTGGGAAATGGCACAGCTTCAGTGCTGGGTTGATAAGAGCTTTCTGGGGAGGTGAGGCAGTGTGACGCCACTTGGTGCCAGCGTACTAAGAAACCAGGCTGGCGGGGGAGACCCCAGAGAGAGCCTCTGGGGAAATCATCAAAAACTCCCGATTCATCTCTACCCCTCTGAGCCATTCCTCCCATTCCTCCCTGTTCCCTCTTTGCTCACACCTGGGATGAGGCTTGTCTTAGCTCCAGCCACCATAACAAAGTACCACATGAGACCCAGGTGGCTTAAACAACAAAAATGTCTTCCCTTGTTCTGGAGGCTGAAAGTCCAAGATGAAGTTGTTGGCAGGTTTGGTTTCTGCAGAGGCCTCTCTCCCTGGCTTGGAGCCAGCCGCTGTCTCACTGTGCCTTCCAACAGCCTTTTCTCTGTGCACATGGGCCCTAGCGTCTCATCAGGCAGCCAAACTTCTTCTGAGGCCACCAGTCAGATTAGACTAGGGCCACCCTGAGGGTCCCATTTAACCTCAATCACCTCTTGAAAGATAATCTATCTCCAAATATAGTCCCATTCTCAGATACTAGGGTTAGGGCTTCAACATAGAAACCTTGGGCGAACACCATTCAGCCCCTAGGAAGTCTCCAGGGGCAACAGAAGAAGCTCTGGGACTTCAGGAAGGGGGTGATGGCTGGGCTGGGGGAAGAGGGGCATGTACCTCAGTGCCAGAGCCCAGGTGCAAGCTCTTGGAGCGCCTGCCCACCACTCCTCCTCCCGAGTGGCACAGACAGAGCCCATTCTGCGTCCAGGCTCAGAGCGCCCTTCCCGGCTGCCAGCTCCCTCACAGGTCAAGCCTACCTCCTCCAGCCCAGCACCTGCTACCCACTCAGGCCATTGGGCCATCCCCACGGCCTCTCAGCCCCACACCATTCCAGGCAACAGCACAGGACAGGGCAGCGTCTTGCCCAGAGTCACCCGGCCAGTGAGTGAGGAAGCTGGGAACCACCCCACCTGCCCCCGCTATGTCCCTCTACTGTCCTGGCTCGGTGGGCTTGCCAGTGGTGTGGATATCTCTGATGGTAACAGCAGACTCCTCCTCAGAGGTGCCATCCGCTCTCCAGAAGGCTGGGGCCAGTCCTGCCCTGGCCCTGGCCTCAGTCTCCCCATCTGCTTAAGGAGGTACTGGACTTTATGGTGAGCTCCTGCCACTCTGAGGTTGCATGGAGGCCTGAGGACAGAGCTATTTTGGTCAAAGAGGGATTTGTGGAACCTGCCTCAATGAGCCGAGGGTCAGCCCTGCCACCGAGGAGCCCCAGGCAGCCAGGGTACCTGTCCTCCACCCTAGAGGATCGAAGCCCACAGGCTGAGGCTGCTGCAGTGGCGCCTGGTGGGGGCCGCAGGGGTGTGGCTCAGTCCCTCAGAGGGTGATGGGCCCCACTTCCCCCAAGAAGGCCAAACAGTTCATTTCAGAGTGAGAAGTTTTAACTTAGATCCAAGCCATTTTGTCTTTGAGCAAACCAGATGCCTGAAATATTCATCAAAAAGGGCCACAATGGTCTGGAGCACTGTGTGGCTGTTAGTGACAGTGTTCGATTATTTGTTTGTTTAATTAATTAATAGACTTAATATTTTAAAGCAGTTTTAGATGTACAGAAAATTGAGCAGATAGTAGAGAAAGTACATAAAACCCCATGCCGCACCCCCCCACCCACCATCTTTCCCCGCCTATTATCAACATCTTGCATTACTGGGGGATATTTGGGGTTTTGGGGGGTTTCTTTTGAGACAGGGTTTCTCTCTGTCATCCAGGCTACAGTGCAGTGGTGCTACATAGCTCACTGCAGCCTCAAACTCCTGGGCTCAAGCAAGCCTCCAGCCCCAGCCTCCCAAGTAGCTAGGACCACAGGTGTGCACCACTATGCCCAGCTAATTTTTACATTGTTTTTGTAGCTACAGGGTCTTGCTGTGTTGTCCAGGTTGATCTTGAACTCCTGGCCTCCAGTGATCCTCCCAGTTCTGCCCCCTGAGTTGCTGGGGCTAGAGGCATGTGCCACCACTCCACACCCAGTTTATTTTTTATTGTTTGTAGAGACAGGGTCTCTCTGCGTTGTCTGGGCTGGTCTCAAACTCCTGGGCTCAAGTGACCCTCCGGCCTCGGCCTCCCAGAGTGTTGGGATTCCAGGCATGAGCCAACATATTAGTCATGTCTGATGAGCCATTGTTGATACATTATTATTAACTAAAGTCCATAGTTTACTTGAGAGTTCACTCACTGTGTTGTACAGGTCTATGGGGTTTTTTTGTTTGTTTGTTTGTTTGTTTTTGATACGGAGTCTTGCTCTTGTTGCCCAGGCTGGAGTGCAATGGCACGATCTTGGCTCACTGCAACCTCCGCCTCCCGGGTGCAAGTGATTCTCCTGCCTCGGCCTCGCGAGTAACTGGGATTACAGGCATGTGCCACCATGCCCGGGTAATATTTTTGTATTTTTGGTAGAGACGGGGTTTCTCCATGTTGGTCAGGCTGGTCTCGAACTCCTGACCTCGGGTGATCTGCTCGCCTCGGCCTCCCAAAGTGCTGGGATTCCAGGTGTGAGCCACCGCGTCCGGCCCGGGTCTACGGGTTTTGACTCATGCATAATGGCATGCATCCACCACTACAGTATTATACGGCATAGCCTCACTGTCCTAAAAATGCCCTGTGTTCGGCCTAGTCATCCCTCTGACCCTGGGAACCACTACGTTGGTGACATTTTCAGGTCTCTTTGGCCTGTTTCCATCAATGACACTTCTCACACCAAATGCGTGGGTTTTCCACACCAACAACCTATTTATTCTCTAGCTCTCTGGACAGCAACTGGGTGTCCGATGATTCTGTTCAATTCTGACACTGCCCAGAGCTGGCGTCAGAACGCTTAGGTGAAGGGCTCAGTCGCACCACACTGCCCCCACCTCTGAGGCATTTGCAAGTTCCTGCCTCCCATACCTGCCCAATTGGCTGCAAATTGGGGGTTCCCACGACCCCTCCCTCAGGTTTGATCGTTTGCTAGAATAGCTCACGGAACTCAGAAAGGCATTTTCCCTACGTTCACCTATTTATCAAATTCAGGAACAGCCAGATAGAAGAGACTCACAGAGTAAGGGATCGGGGAGGGACCCAGACCTTCCAGTCCCTCTTTGAGCACCTCAATGTGTTCACCAATCCTAAGGGTACAGATAAAAAGGCTCAGGGGCCGGGCGCAGCGGCTCACATCTGTAATCCCAGCACTTTGGGAGGGCAAGCCGGGTGGATCACCTGAGGTCAGAGTTCGAAACCAGCCTGGCCAACATGGCGAAACCCTGTCTCTACTAAAAATGCAAAAATTAGCTGGCCAGGGTGGTGCATGCCTATAATCTCAGCTACTTGGGAGGTTGAGGCAGGAGAATTGCTGGAACCTGCCAAGATCGCCCCACTGCACTCCATCCTGGGCAACAAAGCAAGACTCCGTCTCAATTAAAAATAATAATAAATAAATTAAAAAATAAAAGGCTCATGAAGGTGACTCAGCTAAGGCGATGTTTAGAGAGTCGAGGACGTGAATGGGAACTTTTGAGGCAGACAGAGAGTGGAAGGGCACGTGAAGGAGAGAGAATGCCATCTGCAAAGACTCAGAGGTACAACCAGGCAGGGGCAGGAGGACAGATGTCCTGCAGAGGCCCAGGCACAGTGTCACCAGGTGTGGGAGGGCAGGTTGGGGTCAGTATATTACAGAGTCAGGACTGTGTATTCCAGGCAATGGGGAGCCATGGAAGGCTTCAGAGCAGGGGACTAACACCCAGCCTCCTTGGTTGTCTGTATTTAGAGCAGGAACAAGTGTGCATTTCTTGGGAAGCCATGGGATGGCACACCTCTGCATGCATTGAGGAAATGGGCACAAATCCCCCAGCTATGTCTGGGCACCGGAACACAGTTCCTGTAGCCACAGAGCAGGTGTCTGGACTTGCAAGCAGGGGCCAGGCTGGGCAGAGGCTTCCCAGGCCGTCCGGAGCATCCAGCACCCACCCTTCCCTTCTCCTCTCCCCGCTGCAGGAGAATCCCTACCTGTGCAGCAACGAGTGTGACGCCTCCAACCCGGACCTGGCCCACCCGCCTAGGCTCATGTTCGACAAGGAGGAGGAGGGCCTGGCCACCTACTGGCAGAGCATCACGTGGAGCCGCTACCCCAGCCCGCTGGAAGCCAACATCACCCTTTCGTGGAACAAGACCGTGGAGCTGACCGATGACGTGGTGATGACCTTCGAGTACGGCCGGCCCACGGTCATGGTCCTAGAGAAGTCCCTGGACAACGGGCGCACGTGGCAGCCCTACCAGTTCTACGCCGAGGACTGCATGGAGGCCTTCGGCATGTCTGCCCGCCGGGCCCGGGACATGTCGTCCTCCAGCGCCCACCGCGTGCTCTGCACCGAGGAGTACTCGCGCTGGGCGGGCTCCAAGAAGGAGAAGCACGTGCGCTTCGAGGTGCGGGACCGCTTCGCCATCTTTGCCGGCCCCGACCTGCGCAACATGGACAACCTCTACACGCGTCTGGAGAGCGCCAAGGGCCTCAAGGAGTTCTTCACCCTCACTGACCTGCGCATGCGGTTGCTGCGCCCGGCGCTGGGCGGCACCTACGTGCAGCGGGAGAACCTCTACAAGTATTTCTACGCCATCTCCAACATCGAGGTCATTGGCAGGTAAGGCCGGGGGAAGCCCTGGATGTCACCTGCAACCTGGGATGCTATCCGTTACCTGGGATGTGTTTGGATACCTGGGATGTTACCTGGTATGTGAAACATGACCGGGTTCTTGGGATGTTACCTGGTTCCCTTGAGGTTACCTGGTATGTGATACATCCCCTGGTTCTTGGGATGTTACCTGGTACCTCGGACATAACCTGGTTCTTGAGATGTTACTTGGTTTCCAGGAGGTTACCTAGCACCTGGGACATTACCTGGTTCCCAGGACATTACCTGATATTACATCATAGGGACTGTCTAGGATGGCCGGGACTGTACAGACCCAATGCCTGAGCTTTTCCACCGAAGGAGGTGCATGTGTTGGAGGAAGGAAGTACATGTGTTGGAGGTGTGGAGGGCAGGAGTGGAGTCTGTCTGGGCAGGGCTGGGCTAACTCCTGGTGCTGACTGTGAGAAGTGCTCTGAGGCTGTCCACTGACTCAGTGAATGTCCACTGACTCACATTCAAGGGTTTCCGAGACCACCTTTAGGCTCCACGATTCACTAAAAAATCTCACAGAACTCAGCAAAGCTGCTATATTCATAGTTATGATTTATTACAATGAAGGATACAGATTAAAATCAGCAACAGGAAAAGGTGCCCAGGTCTGGGTCCAGGAGATAGCAGGTGCAAGCTTCTCATTGTGCCCTCCCAGTGGGGTTGTGCAGGCGGCACTTGATTCTCCCAGCAGTGACATGGGACGACGCTTGTGAGCTATCGCCAGGCAGGGATGCGTACCAAAGCCTCAGTGTGGAGTTTTTATTGGAAGCTGATGGTAGAGGCATTGCTGATGATGTGGCTGGTCTTTGGTGTTAATCCCTGCAGAGGTCGAGCTGATACTACATGGCCCAAGGCCCCCCAGTAAATCTCATCAGCGTAGGCTTTCTGATGTGTGCCAAGACCCGCAGGCAAACACGGACACTCTTTCTAGACAGGACACTCCAAGGGCTTATGGATTAGGGGTCACCTCGCAGTAAGCCAGAGTCAGACCTTTCTTTGGAATGTGCAGGGTGTGGACACCCCAGACCTGCTGAGTCAGCTCTTTCTCGGCCAGCTCTGGAGAGGAATGTGTTTTGAGGCAACTTTGAGGAAGGCAAAAGACTGTCATAGGAGAAGAAAGCAGCCTTTACCTCCCAAAAACTGTTTAGATTGTGGAGGAATACATGGTTCTGTGCTGTCCTAAGTCATTGATTCTTTTGGCAGATAATATGCCAATCTGTGGGGGCAATGCCATCTTCCCTGGGCCATCTGTAGAATGGGGATGGTAACAAACATACTTCTCTTGCTGGATTATGGTGAAGGTTAAATGAGTTAAAGTTGAAGTACTCAGAACAGTGCCTGGCACATAATATGTGCAAAAAAAAAAAAAGTGTTTAATAAAAAAAATTGGACAAAATAATGGAGTGAGAGGGCTGGGGTGGGCTGAGGGAGGAGAGAGTTGAGACCCAAGGGTGCTGGGGCCAGGAGCCTGGCTTAGGCAGGTGCAGGCAGGGGCTGCACCTGGGGAGCCCAGCTGGGATGATCACTCACTGTGGGCATCTCTCCACTGCAGGCTCTCAATGCCCACCCAAATCTGTAATTCCTGACAAGTGGAAAAAGTGATTTGCCATATGGCATGTAGAGCATAATCCTGTTTTTGTAAAATATATGATACGCCTTGTGTATCATTTCTGCGTCTTGAACACACATTGGCTGTAAGTGTATACAAGCCCGGGACAAACATCATGGGTTGGGGAGAAAGGCTGGAAGCCCGTTTGCCAGCCATGTGCTGTGGTGACGCCTGCATGGTGAGGCTGGACAGGCCACTGTGGTGCTGCTGTTTCCAGCTTGTGTTTGCATTTTGTTTCACTTTGACGGCGTGTGTGGATTCCAGGTGGCCAAAGGCAAAGGCAGGTCGTGCATGAAGCCGGAGTCAGCTTCAAGTCTGGCAGATGGGAGTGAAGCAGGTGCAGACAGGGGTCCGTGGTTCTGATACCCGTGATCTCTAACCCACCTCAATTGGGACAGGATACTCAAAATCAGGAATGTTCTGGAAAACACCCCATATACAGGCACTGTGGTGGAAGCTGGTGTCCAGACTTTCAGCCCCTGGGCATCTCTGTGACCTCTGCCCTTGGAATGCCATTGTCTGGTTGTTACTAGACACCCGCCAATCCCCGGGCTTAGCAGCTCAGGGCTGGGAACCAGCTCCCCAGGCCCTGCAGGCTCCTGGCTTGTCTTCTGACCTTGGGCTGCTCAGGGAAACCCTCATCTTCAGGCAACTGTTCAAGGACCCTGCCTTACATTTCCTAAGGCGGCTCATGTGGGGCCCTCATGTCTGGGCCAGCTGTAGGGTCCAGAATGGGCCTGTGATGGTCAGGGTCTGGTGGTGCCACTTCAACCCCAGCAGGGTGACCTGGGGTTCAAACCCTGCCCCTCTGCACCCTGTCTCGATTTCCCATCTGTGACAAGACAACTGAGGCTGCCTGGAGCTCATATCTCCCTGGAGGTGGTTCCCCTTGGCACCCAGCCTCTGCAGGCGGCAGGGAGGAGCCGAGGTGGTGGCGAGAGTGTGCAATCAATTCAGAGAGAGAGTAAACACTCTTCAGGCAGCAGCTTGGCTTGTCGTTGAATTGGGTCGGGTTAGATGGTTCAAGGAAGAGCTGAGGCTACCTCCCCTTTTCCCTCTTCATTTCCCCTGGGAAAGTCCAGCCGTGCTGAGAAGCCAGAGACGAAGGACCCGTGACAAAGGGGGATGTGGCACCCGAAGTTCCTGAGTGGGCACCAGGGACCCCCTGGGGGTTCCCGGGCTCTGGGATTTCACACTGAACCTGTTCTGGGGATTCCCTCAGAATTTCATGACCGCCATGTTGCCCAGTGGCTCCGCTGCGGTCCACTAACAAGAACAGCAAATGTTTATCCAGCATTTGCTGTGGGCTCATTTGCTATTGAGTGCTGTTATTAACGGCTTCATGTGTATTTTCTTGTTTAATCAATAGTTGTTTAATTTCCCGATGGTTATTGAATGGTTCAGATCCTGCAAGCCAAGGACACAGCACTGAGCAAGCCGGACCTGATCCCCACCCGCTGGAGCTCTCCCTGCGGGGGCAGTGCTCCCCCAGCCTCATGTTTTCAGATGAGGAGGCTGAGGCCTGTGAGGTCAGGGAATAGAAGGAGATTGCACAGCGCCACTACATGGCAGACAGCTAACATCCAGACACAAGCATGTCCGGGCTCAAGATGGACTCAGCCACCGAGCGGTCCCTAGCCCTGGCCTGGTGGCTGCCTCATTTCTGGTCCCAGCTCTGACTTGAGCCCACCTGGAACTCAGATAGCCTGTATGATGGGGCCATCCCACGGGACTCCCCTCTGAATTGAAGGTTCTTTAATGGGTGGTGGCTCCCTGCTCTGCCACTCAAGTCAGCGATTTCCAGCTCCAAGGGGGACCCCAATGGCAGGCAACAGTGTAGGCAGGAGGGGGAGGACAGAAGCACCTGGCTGCGGAGGAGGAGCTGGAGCAGCTGCAGCCAGCCCAGGGTCCTGGGAAGGAGGGACTGGTACAAATGGTGAGGGGGACAAGAGGTGGGGCCAGACTGAGCTCCAGCCCCACCACAGGGGGCAGGTGGGGTGCCAGTGGCTCTGAGAGAAGCACAGGCACCCGCAAGTCCCAGCCACACCCCCTCCCTGCCTCCCGCGGAGCCTGCTCCACGTGCCCATTCCTGGAAGGCAGGCAGGGGGCGGGAGCTATTTTCTCCTTCCACACATGGGGAAACTCAGGTGCGGAGCTTGGAGAGTGGTTGGCTTCAGACTGTGCAGCAAATCTGGGGCAGAATCTGGATTTGAGAAGGAATGAGATCATTCCTTTATGGTGCTTGGAGCGGGAGGGGCCTCTGCTCCCACCCTCCACACGACCATTAAGAGAAGCGGGGCCCAAACCTGACCCAGCATCTCACAGGAGAGCCGTTTAAGACAGGGTTCCCCAGCCCCACCACTGAGAGCTTTGGGACTGGGAGGCTTCGGGTGAGGTCCAGAAGGCTGTGTCTTTGCAAAGCTCCTCAAGTGAGCTGGAGAGGTGGAAGCTGCTGCATCCATGGAGATGGATGACCATAACCTGTTGGAACCTCAGTTTTCTCATCTGTAAAATGGAGAAATAGTAATGATGTCAGCTGCCTGTTGTGAAGAGTCAATGAAATGCTATATTCAAAGAGCTTATCCCAGTGTCTCATTCCTCTGGTTAGACGGTGGGAGAGGGAAGGCGAGGAGGCTTAGGATCAGGACTGCCTAGATATGAGGCCATTCCTGCACCCAACCCAGGTACTAGAAGGAGTGTGGAAGCATGCCTCTGGGTTCACAGGGGTTGCCATCCCAAATGTCTGCAGAGGCTGGGAACATAGCTTGTGTGGAAGCCAGGCATGGTGGTGTGCGCCTGTAGTCCTAGCTACTTGGGAGGCTGAGGCAGAAGGATTACTTGAGCCTGGGAGATTGAGGCTGCAGTGATCTATGATGGTGCCACAGCACTGCAGCCTGGGTGACAGAAAGAGATCCTGTCTCTAAAAAAATAAAAATAATAAATAAATTCAAATGAATAATAAAAATAATGAGAAGAAGACAATGTATATGGGTACCTATGGTACCATCAGAAGTGATAGGGAAGGGTGTGGCCTGGGGAGAAATGGAGACAGCAGGACCCTCACAAGACAGCTGACCGAACATTCCAGATCTTCTGCAGTAACAAAGGAAGGTGCACAGCAGTATCTGTGTAAAGTCTCTTGCTTTCAAAAATATTGGCACTGACTTCAAAAAGTTGTTTAAACTCTGTGCAGGGAAAACAAAATACACCTGCAGCCCAGGACAGCTCACTAGCTGCCGGGGGCACCCCTGCTCTGAAATGCTCAGTGTCCTCCTGCAGCTGGGGTAGCAGCCGCATTCGATGAGCCCGAGGCAGGGCCAACACACTGGAGCCAGGGCAGGGGCAAAACAGCCCAGCCAGCCCTGCCCACTCCAGACCTGGGAGTCAGAGGGAAGGGGGCATCATCCCATGCAAGTTCCTCTGCCCAGAAAATCCTTGGAAGCTCCAGGGAGGCAGCCCAGCAGGTCCTTTGCCAGCAGGAATAGGAAAGGAGGAATGAGTTCCCCATTCCTGGAGGTATTCAAGCCCAGTGGGTGGTGTTTGTGGGAGATGATGAAGGGAGGTCCTTTGCACCAAATTAAGGTCTTGTGTGCCCATTCTGTTCAACAGGAATAAATGTGGATTAAGGGAACAAGAGAGGCAGGTACCATTTATTGGTTACGTGCCAGGCATTGCATCCTCACCCCCTTTCTGCCCAGGAGGAGGTTGAAGTCCTTGAGCGAGAGGAAACCCGTGAGATCCCAGAGGCTGAGCTGGGCCTGGATGGGCAGATCTGAGCTCTGGAGTGGCCAAGCCCAGCTCCTGCAGACCCAGCTTCCCCAGACCCTAGGGGGGTCTAGCTGCTCTGTGTCCCTGGGCCTCCCCCAACCTGGTTCCCCCCCCCCCATTGACTCCCTCCCCTCTTTCTTGCCTTCTTGATTTCTTTCATAAACGTCCTGTCCCTATTGATCGCCCCGCAACCGGAGATGGACGGACACTGGACGAGAATAGAAACAGCAGAGGGAAGAAAACCGTGGAGGGTGAGCAGGTGGGTGCGGGGAGGGGAGTGCAGAGACAGGCGATTTCAGTCACCCTATTCCTGTACCCACCCTCCCTGCATCTCTTTCTCAGCTGCTCTACAGGAAAAACAGGGGCAAGAAGGGAATTCTGTGATGTTATTCTGCCTGCGCTGACTCCTTGAAACTCTGGGAAGGCAGAGCCTCCTCCCTCAGCAATATTAACTGTCATTCACCAAGAATTCCCATAGCCCAGGTAGCATCCCGAGTCCTTTATGTGCATTTCCTCATTAAGTCCTATCCTGTGAGGATCATTGTCCCCATGACATAGATGAGGAAACTGAGGCCAGAAGATTGAGATATAGATGGAAAGGCTGGGGTGTGGTGGCTGGTGCCTGTAATCCTAGCACTTTCGGAGGCTGAGGCAGGAGGATCACTTGAGTCCAGGAGTTCAAGACCAGCCTGGGCAATATAGTGAGACCCCCATCTCAATGAAAACAAAATAGATGGAGGTACCCATGAGGATGGCTGTTATTGGACAAGCAAAAAATGACAGGTGTCGGCAAGGATGTGGAAAAATCAAAACCTTCATGCATTGCTGGTGGGAACAAAAACGGTGCAGCCACAGTGGAGAACAGTATGGTGGCTCCTGAACAAGTTAAATATAGATTTAGCAATTCTGCTCCTAGGTATAGACCCAACAGAATTGAAAGAAGGGACTTGAACAGATACTTGTACACCCATGTTTATAGCAGCTTTATTCTGAGTAGCCAAAAGGTAGAAACAACACAACTGTTCATCAACAAATGGAGACACGAAATGTGGCCCATCCATACAATGGAATATGATTCAGCCTTAAAAAGGAGGGAGAACCTGACACACGCTGCAACACAGATGAACACTGAGGACATGATGCTAAGTGAAATAAGCCAGACACAAAAGGACAAATACCATATGATTCTGCTTACCCGACGTCCCTAGAGTCATCAAATTCATAGAGACAGAAAGTAGAATGATGGCTGCCAGGGGCTGGGGGAAGGTGGAATGGGGGTTAGTATTTAACGGAGACAGCTTCAGTTTGGGACGATGTAAAGTTCTGGAGGGGGTGGTGACAGAGCTTGCACAGCACTGTGGATATACTAATGCCAGCAGACCATACACTTAACAATGGTAAGGTGACTGGGTGCGGTGGCTCATGCCTGTAATCTCAGCACTTTGGGAGGCTGAGGCAGGCGGATCACTTGAGGTCAGGAGTTCGAGACCAGCCTGGCCAACATGGAGAAACCCTGTCTCTACTAAAAATACAAAAATTCGCCAGGTGTGGTAGTGGGTGCCTGTAATCACAGACACTCGGGACACTGAAGCAGGAGAATCACTTGAACCAGGGAAGCGGAGGTTGCAGTGAGCTGAGATCGCACCACTGCACTCCAGCCTGGGCGACAGAGAGAGACTCCATCTCAAGAGAAAAAAAAATGGTAAGGTGATCAATATATACCTATATTTTAGCACACTAAAAAATAAAGGAAATAGATGGGTGGGTGGTCTCCATGTCACACTGTCCAGGTGCAAATTCTGGATTAGGTATGACCGTGGGCAAGTTGCCTAACCTGTCTGCCTCCTTCCCACCTCCACAAAATGGAGACAATCACCCTGGGGTTTAAGTGAGACCATTCAGGGAGAGGAGCCATGGCTGTTGGGGTTGCATAGAAAGAACAGCAGATCACAGAGGGCCTGGAGATTCCTCTACTGGGGCCTATGGGCTCTTAGGAGGGCAAAGGGTGGGCCTCAATGATCCATGGACTCCCTGAAATATATGCTAAGTGTCGTGTGTGTGCAGTCAGTTGGTGAGAGCCCCTAGTCTTTGTTCCATTCTCAAAGGGAGCCCATGATCCCAAAATATTTGGAGAGTCCCTGGAAAGGCAGCTTTGTGTTGTGCTTTTCATTTTTTTAAACCCAACTCTTGGCTGGGCACTGTGGCTCACGCCTATAATCCCAACACTTTGGGAGGCTGAGGTGAGTGGATCACCTGAGGTCAGGAGTTCAAGACCAGCCTGACCAACATAGTGAAACCCCGTCTCTACTAAAAATACAAAAATTAGCTGGGCGTGGTGGCGGGTGCCTGTAATCCCAGCTACTTGTTAGGCTGAGGCAGGAGAATCACTTGAACCCGGAAGGTGGAGGCTTCAGTGAGCCGAGATCGCGCCACTGTACTCCAGCCTGGGCGACAGAGCGAGACACCATCTCAAAAAATAAATAAATAAATAAAAATTAAAAAAATAAAATAAACCCAGCTCTTTGGGGACACCCAGTTCTTTGGGGACAGACATTTTGTTAGGTGCAGTTCACACACCTGCAACTGTACCTCCCAGGCCCCCTGAACTACTGCTTCCCACCAAAAAGCCGGCATGCACAATTCAAGACCACGTCGGCCTCCACTGAGAAATGCCGGTGTTGGGAAGGGGCCAGACTGTGCTAAAGAGTTGGGGAGGTCCACTGCCAAGGCCGGTGGTTGGCCCCTGGGCCTGGGGTCTCCTCTGGTCTTTGGCTCTTCTCCACTGCTGGGTGGGGCGGAGAGGGCAGGAGGGGCATCTCAGGCTTGGCCAGGGTCACAGGAGGCTCGGGGAGCCCTGCAGGTGCTTGGGAGAGAGTCACGCACAGCAATGCCTTCCCAGCAGCACTGGACAGAATCGGGGTTCCCTCTTCTCTTGCCTGAGAAGGCATTACCTCTGCGAGCTTTCTTGCCATCATATTAATTCACTCAACAGATGTTTTTTCTCAGACCTTGCGGGGATGAATTAACACATATTTCTAATGGACACTGCCTTGGTTTCTTGGAGCCTCCATAACAAAGTACCACAAACTGGGGGGAGGTCAGGAGTCTGAAATCAGGGTGCAGCTGGGCTCGCTGTGGACCCTGCAGGAGGGAACCTGTCCCACACCCTCCGCCCTCCACTCGCTCCTGGCGGGGCCGGCAGCCTCTGGCGTTCCTGGGCTTGCAGCTGCGTCACTCCAGTCTCTGCCTTGTCTTGCAGCTGTCCGCTGCCTGAGCGTCTGTCTTACACGCTGTCTCCCTGTGTCTCTTCCCACTGGGACATCAATCACATCGGATAAGGGCCCGCCCTCCTCCAGCATGACCTCAGCTTAGCTCATATCCTCATCACATCCACGAAACCCCATTTCCATGTAAGGTCACATTCACAGGCAATGGGGGTCAGGATGTCAACATATCTTTTTGGGAGACGTGATCTGGCCCACAGCAGGCACCTGTGACGTGCTCAACACAGCAGGGTGCCAGGGTCCAAGAGCATGGAGGGGCTGACGCTTCCATAGTGGGAGAGCAGGAATCCACAAACCCAGTACCCCCAAGAGCCCACAGGTGAGAAAGAAACCCAGGGCAAGGCCAGGCATGGTGGCTCACACCTGTAACCCCAGCACTTTGGGAGGCTGAGGCTGGTGGATTGCTTGAGCACAGGAGTTCAAGACCAGCCTGGGCCACATGGTGAAACCCCGTCACTACAAAAAATACAAAAATTAGCCAGGCACGGTGGTGTGCGCCTGTGGTCCCAGCTACTTGGGAGGCTGAGGTGGAGGATTGCTTGAGCCCAGGAGGTCAAGCCTGCAGTGAGTTATGACTGTGCTACTGCACTGCAGCCTGGGTGACAGAGCAAGACCCTATCTCAAAACCCAGGGCAATGTGGGCGTGGAGCTGGGAACCAGCCTGAGACCTGGACCCGGGGGTCAGGGAAGGCAAAGAGAAACCTGAAGGGGGAAACGGGGGCACAGCATTTGTGGCAGGGGACAGCAGGTGGGACAGGCGCGGTGCCTTCTAAGGACTCAATGTGATGCGGCTGTGGTGGGTGGGTAAGATTCCAAAGAAGAGCAGGCAGGGCCCGATCATGCCAGCCCTGCAGCCGCGGGAGGAAGTTGGTTTTGGTTGAAGTTTGGTGGGAGGGCTACAGGCAGGGGAGAGGTGTGATCTGATTTCTGGTGTTTGGAAATCTGAGTTGGGGGTGGTGCTGCTGGAGGCCAGCAGGAGACCGGGCGGGTCCTTCCAAGACCGGCAGCAGCCTGGCGGGGTCCTGGCGGGGACAGGGGCTGTGATGTGGGCCGCCTGGAGGTGGCCTTTGGTGGCAGTGTTGTTGCTGAGTGGCTGGTGGGAGCAGGGGGTGGGAGGCATCGTGGGGGACTCCCAGGCATCCGGCTTTGAGACACCGGGTGGATGGAGATGTTGCCTCGTCAAATGGGGACAGAGGTGAGGGAATTTTCTGGAGGGGAATTTTTTTAATTTCTTAATTTTTTTATTTTTATATTTCATATAGCAAAATGGACCTTTGGGGGGTACAGTTCTAGGGATTTTAGCACGTGGATAGCTTCATGTAACTGCCACCACAGCCTGGGTCCACCACAGCCTGTGTCTCCAAAAACTCCCTATGCTACCCTTTGAGCCACCCACGGTCCCCGTCCTGAAACCCCTGGAAGTCCTCAATCTGCTCCCCATCTTTTCTGAAAATCTCCTGTAAGTGGAGTCGTGCGGCAGGTGGTTTTTTCAAGGGGTCTCCTTTGTCCTGGACATGCCTCTGAGGCTCATGGCGTGGCCACCCGCGTGGCTTAGGTTCGTCACTCGTGAGTAGGACTGTGCTGTGTGCGCGGCACATCGTGGTCTGTTTACCCAGTCTCCGTGGAAGGACGTCTCGGTGGCTCCCACTCTGGGGTGATTATGAATAGAGCTGCTATAAACATTGGTGGCAAGGTTTTTGGGTGAACATAAGTTTTCGCTTCTCTTGGGTAAGCACCCAGGTGTGGACGGCTGGGTCGTCTGGTGAGCGTGTTTAACTCTGTAAGAAACTGCCAGGCCGTCTTCCAGCGCGGCTGTGCACTGGAGGAAGCCTGACTTCTATTTTGGACCTGTTGGTTGTGAGCGTTTTGGAGGCATCCGGAGCATTTGGGCCTTTTGAGTGTGAAGCGCAGGCGAGACTGGGCGCAGGGAGTCCTTAGCTCCGCCGTGCCGATGACGCCCGCCGTGGGGGCGTGCGAGACTTCCGAGAGGAGAGCCGGGGAGCCGGGCGGTCTGCAGCCCTGAGATCAGAGAGAGGGGGATCTGGCAGGGCGGTGCCCCAAAACCACGCGAGAGCCGTGCCTCCAGGGCAGCGGCCACCTGTGTCCGTGCCGCCCAGGGGCCAAGTGGAGGAGCCAGCGTGGGCCCATGGACCTGGGAAGATGGGGGTCACAGCAGAGGTACCCAGAGCAGAGCCCGGGATGAAGGCCGTCGTGGGGTGGTTTCAGGGGCGAATGCCAACACTTTTAAAAGAGTGAATAAGAGGTGAAAAAGAGGGGGTGTAGGCAAGCTTTGAAAACATTTGGCTCGGAAGGGGAGCAGGGAGATGGGGTGTGAGCTGCTGGGGGAATGGGGAGGGGAGAGGGTTCTTTCTGAAAGGCGGGAGGCGCGGCAGCGTTGGCGTTGGGATGGGAAGAATCCACCAGGACTGAAGATAGCTGCGGGGAGGGCGGGAGGGACACTGGGGACAGGAGCTGAGGAAGTGATTGGGGTGGGCGGAGAGCTGACAGGACAGAGGGCCCACCAGCATGCGTAAGGAGGAAAGGCTGACTGATTTCATATTTAGGTCAGAAACCCTGCTTCTAACACCTTCTAGAGACTCCATGTCCATCCTGCCAACCCAGGGTGGCCCACCCTGGTGACTCACAGGAGTCCCTTTGTCCTGAGTAAAGAGTGGCAGATCACGGGGCCAGCGAGCAGACTGCCTGAGATTCCAGCTCTTTCCATTTGCTCTTTTCTGGCAAGTCTCTTCCATTTCTCCAGGCCTCAGTTTCCCCACCTGTAAAATGGGATCCTGCTGTTGTAAAGATTGTCTGAAACTTGCCGGCTCAAGTCCCAACACTCAGGAGGTGCCTGAGGAAGGGGAGCCATTGATCCCTCGAAGGAGTCGGTATTTTGTCACCTGAACACACAGCCCATGTTCCTCCGTCACTCACCTGGGGGCCGAGTGGAACTCCTCAGCTTCATCTCCAGCTCTGTCCTCTGTCCCTTCATCAGTCAACAGTCATGCAGGAATGAGAAGCTCAGCTCATAGTAGGTGTAGCCAAAGGGACTTCGGAGGAGAGTACTGCCACCAACAGCGGACAGGGGACTGAGCCCCACCCAGTTCTGCGTGAGCCACGCCCGCTGGGTCTGTAGCCACGACACCTGGCAGGCTCCTGTCCCCCTACCCCAGTTCTGTGGCTTGCTGGACCTCACCAGCCGCGATTGGGCAGGACAGACAGGCCTGGAGAGGGGAAGTTGGGTTGGGAGAGGACAGGCCACATCCAGGCTCATCCTCAGGCCTTGTTCTGCCTCTGGACTGGGCTACCTCCCTCCACATCTCAGCAGAGGGAGCGTTTGTGGGGGGTCATTGCAGAGGATCCCTGGCCCTTCATCCCATATGAAGCCTGTTTTAGACGCACAGATGCTCCCTTAGATGTACCCGCCAAGTCACACACACACGCAGGCATTCACTCATCTGTAACGTGCCCCTGACTCACACATAAACACACACCTGCCCCACCCACACTCGCGAATCCGCTTCCAGAAGCACCCAGTCATAGACACATCACACTCCACACGGCCGCCTTGCACCCCTGCTCACAGACGCGGACCCACAGGATGGGCGGAGGCCTCCGCGGGGCCCCGGGGTTCACCGGAGGCCTTGGCTTGACTGCCCTGGGCTCGGGGCTTCTCTGCGCTTCTCCCCCATGTTGAGGCACCCACTTCATGCTTCGGTTCCTGGAGGCCTCTTTCCATTCCGTGGGGCAAAGCTTCTAACCATCCCTCCATCCCACTCTCAGCCTGAACTAGGTCCCAAGGTGGACCCCCCCATCAGCAGCCCTGCCCCCTAGAAGAAAGGTGCAGGCTGGCATCAGGTTTTGGTTTGGGGACATGACTGGCCTCCCTCCCTCCCTTCAGTCTTGCCCTTTCTGTAGTTTTTTGTCCCTAAACACAAACCCAGTCACTTCTCTGCACAATATCTCTGGTGGTCTTCTACTGACCTTGGACTCAAGTCCACGCTCTGTGATCACAGACTCACCCTCTCACCTCCTTCTGCAGCCTGGGCTCTGAGACTCCCAAGACCAGCCACCCCAAAGGTTGGGTCCCTCTGGCTGGCCTAGGGCCTAGTCCTTCTGCCTGGAACATGACCTGGCCTTCCCCGGCCTTCCTGTCTGGCAAACTCTTCACCCCTCAAGGCTTGGCTCAGAGAGCACCTCTCTGGAGCTCCTGAAGGCTGGAGACCTGTGCAACCAGCCCCTCGGTCCCCTTCTCCAGCCTTGGCGGCTGGCGGCAATCCCACAGCCTTGCCATAGCTACCATAGCTATGCACGTACACGTCTGACACCCGCCCCCACAGGCTCTGAGCTCCAAGGGAGCAGGGATGGGGTCTGGCTTGTTCTCACCGTAGCACCAGCACCCAGAACCAGGTAGGCGTGCTGTGTATGTGTGGAATTCATTCATTAATTCAGTCAGTCATTCATTTGTTTATTCATGAACAAATGAACTTACATGAACAAAGAACTCTCTGGAACTTACTATCTGGAACTATCTTACTATCTTACTATCTGGAACTCTTTCCAGATAAGAAAGAGACTGGAATATAGGCGCTAGGAGGCAGAGAAGCAGGACCAGCTGGGCTTGCTAGCACCCACCCCTGTCGCCTCCCACCCTTCCACCATCACACCCTGCTCCTTCTCCTGTTTTCCTCGTGTGAGAAACGGGCCTCTCTGGGCTACCACCTGGACCTGGTCCTTCCCTCAGGGGTGTTGGGCCTTCCTACAGGGGAAGATGCAACGTTGCTGAAGTCAGCCAGGCTGCTCAGGCTGGGGGTGCCTTCGCAGGCCCTGGCCATACCCACCGTGTTACCCCTAAGCCTCACAGCCAAGCCCACCAGCACCCGCCCGTCAGCCTCTGTCTTGTATGCAAGGAAGCTGCTGCCTCTGGCTTTGTAATGGGTAATAGGATTTATCAATAGACTGAGGAGGTGAGGTATGTTAAAGCACTTAATAGAAAAGGGCTTCGCACAGAAGCCCAAATTTGATTTAGCCAATGAACTCAATTGCCGGCCTGATTGCGTTCCAGGAGGCGCAGCAGCCAGCGTTTGTCCACATTACCCTGGAAAAGCCAGGCTGCACCAGGCGACCGACCCAGACCGCCCAGACCTCCCCTCTGTCCCCACAGCTCTGCCGTTGGTTCCCTGCTTTCTCAGGGTCTCAGGTTTGAATGGCAGTCCTTTGACCCAAACGATCTCAAGTTGTCTCGCATCCAACAGCCTCCTTCCCTCTCATGCCCGAGGCTCCCCCATCTCGTGAATTAGCTAGAAGTCCAGTTTGCTACCACGTTCCTTTCACCATGATCCTCAAATCTGTGTGTCCTCTGGTCACTTGTTACTTCTTAATCAAGCTGGCCTCTGCAGGCTTCCCTCGTGACCATTTGTTGCTTCTCCGGCTACTGTTCATCTCTCCACACTGCTTGCCCGAGTCAAGGACACATCTCTGCCAACCCCGCAAAGAAGACCAAAACCCCCAGGTCACAGTGTTTCATGACACCTTGACTCCGGCCTGGGCATAGCAGATGAGAATTACCATGTAGAAAAGAAGGACTTGAGGCTGGGCGCGGTGGCTCATGCCTGTAACCCCAGCACTTTGGGAGGGCGGATCACCTGAGGTCGGGAGTTCGAGACCAGCCTGGCCAACAAGGTGAAACCCTCATCTTGACTAAAAATACAAAAATTAAAAAAATTTTTTTAAATTAGCTGAGCATAGTGGTGCATGCCTGTAATCCCAGAAACTCAGGAGGCTGAGGCAGGAGAGTCACTTGAACTTGGGAGGCGGAGGTTGCAGTAAGCCGAGATCACGCCACTGCACTCCAGCCTGGGTGATGACAGAGCAAGACTCTGTCTCAAAAAAAACATTTTAAAAAAAGGACTTGAGAGGATTTCCATTGGTCATCACCAACCTCGAGGCTGTCCATCCATTGGCCACGGCCACCCACTGGCTGGGGAGGGGAAGCCCCTTGGCCATGTGAGCCCCCAGCCCCCTCCCAGGGCGGCATCCTTCCTCACTGCGGTCCAGGCCCCCAACCCCAGCTCTGTGAGTCCTCAGGAATGTAGCGCCCTTGTTGCTTCAGCCTCCTGCTTCATCCTGCGGAACACGCCAGCCTCCCGTGCGAGCATCTCCAGGCCAACGTAAGATCTGAGATTTGCTTTAGGTTATTTTGTCCATAACCCAGAGGCTCATGAAAAATATTTTTCCAAAAACAAAAGAACACTCTTCACCCAAAGATAAATGCAGTATCTTGCAAGAGAAATTGGAAAACATTGCTGGCTGCTTTAAAATAGTACTTTAACTTTAGCCCCCAAGGTACCAGAGCTCTGTGAGGCTGGTCTCAGTATACCCGACGTGTAATAATGTGGGGATGGGTGGTAACATACCAGGAAAGAAGGACCAGGCAATGTGATTAGTGACCAGCAACCCCCATGGTCCTACAAGGAGGTGCTTTGAGAGAAGCTGGGGACTAGCTCTCCCCGCCCAGCACCCGCCCACCCCAGTTCAGAGCCATCGCCATGAGCCCTCTGAAATCCCCGTGGGGCTTTGCCTTTGCAGGGAGCCAGCCCTGGGGCCTCCTCCTCCCTGCCCAGCTCCGGCACCATCCCTGGCTCGCTCACCCAAACTCACCGCTTCCTCCATCGTTCCCCCCAAGGAGTGGATGACATCACTCTTTCCGGCAGCCAGGAGTTGACCTACATTCCACCCGCCCTCCTGTCTGGGAGACTCTCCAAACCCCCCGCTCCTCTCTCCCTGGGAAGGGAAGGGCCCCGCTCACGATTTTTGTGGAGTGACGGTGCCAGGCCCGGGTCCAGATGGTGCCCCCGCAGCAGCTCCTAGGCACTGCCTGCCCCTCCCCGCAGGGCAGGGCACGCTCCCGCCTGGCACGGGCCAGGGTCCCTGTCATCCTTCATGTGGCTGTCGGGGCCCCAGCTGAGCCTGCCACGTTTCCCGGAGAACTGTTGTCTGGGCTGGGCTCTCCCCTGGAAGTGAGGCCTGGTGCTGCCTCCTAACAGTTGTGGTCTCCGGGGGCTTACTAGGGATTCGTCAATTCAAGAAAAAGGGAAACTTAGCTGAGAAGCTGGCTGTGACTCTGTCTTTGGGCTAGTATCCAGCAAGCGAGAGAGTGCGCCCCATGTCAGGCCATGAGAGAAGTCAGGGTCCGAGCAGAGGGGCCAGACAGCCACACGGGTGAGCAAGGTAGCAGGAGCAGGTGGGCCTGCCAGATGAAAGATGGGATGCCCAGTTAAACCTGAATTTCAGATAAACAAGGGAATCATTGCTTTTTTAGGATAAGTATGTCCCAAATATCTCATGGAATATACTTGTACTAACAAAATCAGTAGTTATTTATCTAAATTTTTTTTTTTCAGAGACAGGGTCTTGCTCTGTCACCCGGGGTGAAGGGCAGTGCAGTGGCACAGTCACGGCTCACTTCAGCCTCAACCTCCTGGACTCAAGCAATCTTCCTGCCTCCGTCTCCTAAGTAGCTAGGACGATAGATGCTCACCACCATGCCCTGATAAATTTAGAGTTTTAAAAATTTTTTTGTAGAGATGGGGGTCTCACTGTGTTGCCCAGGCTGGTCTCGAACTCCTGTTGTCAGGTAATCCTCCTGCCTGGGCCTCCCAGAGTGCTCGGATTACAAGCATGAGCCGCTGTACCAGGCCTAAAATTCAAACGTAACTCTGTGTCCTGTATTTTTATTTTGGAGATCTGGCAATCATTGTGGCATGGGGCTCTGTGGGGCAATGACCCCGAGAGGCCAGTGAGGGCTGGGCATGGTGGCTTATACCTGTAATTCCAGCACTTTGGGAGGCTGAGGTGGGCAGATCATTTGAGGTCAAGAGTTCGAGACCAGCCTGGCCAACGTGGTGAAACCCCATCTCTACTAAAAATACTAAAATTAGCCGGGTGTGGTGGTGGGAACCTGTAATCCCAGCTATTCGGGAGGCTGAGGCAGGATAATTGCTTGAACCCAGGAGGCAGAGGTCGAAGGGAGCTAAGATCAAACCACTGCACTCCAGTCTAGATGACAAAGCGAGATTCCATCTCAAAATAAGTAAATAAATAAAGGATAAATATTTGGCAATATATTACTGAATCCTCCAAGAGGCCAGTGGGTGTGTCACCCCTTGTGGGTGGCCCCAGGGGCCTGGAGAATAGGTTGATTATCTCTATTTTGGGGAGCTGCAGGCTACGGAGAGAGGCTCTGGGGTGGGTGTTGGAGGGGACGGCATGAATAAAGGGCCCTGCCCTTGGGGCCAGGCACCTCGGGGCTGCCAGGTAAGGCCGATCTTTGCACCTGGAGCCCCTGTACTCTCATCTCCATCCCTCCCTCTATCACCTGTTGGCTGTTGACAATAGCAGCAATAATAATAGCTGACATTTCTGGAGGGCTTGCTCTGTGCCAGACCCAGTGCTGAGCACTCGAGGGTATCAGCTCAGCTCGACCCCTGACAGCCCTGCCACGTGGAAACAGCCACTTCCTAGGGTTACAGGACGCTGACTGATTCCCCAAGGCTGGTCACCTTCCTGCCTTTGCCCAGCTTGAGGGGTCAGAGGTTTTTTTTGTTTTTGTTTTTGTTTTTTGAGACGGAGTCTCGCTCTGTCGCCCAGGCTGGAGTGCAGTGGCCAGATCTCAGCTCACTGCAAGCTCCGCCTCCCGGGTTTACGCCATTCTCCTGCCTCAGCCTCCCGAGTAGCTGGGACTACAGGTGCCCGCCACCACGCCTGGCTAGTTTTTGTATTTTTTTTAGTAGAGACGGGGTTTCACCATGTTAGCCAGGATGGTCTCGATCTCCTGACCTCGTGATCCGCCCGTCTCGGCCTCCCAAAGTGCTGGGATTACAGGCTTGAGCCACCGCGCCCGGCCGAGAGGTCAGAGGTTTGAACCCGACTGTCTGGCCACCATGCAACCTGATGCTGCAGCCCAGCTGAGACACTCACTGGCCTTTAACCCAGCAGGTGCTCCGTGCCAGATGCTGCACAGAGGGCTCCCTTGCATTATCCCCTTCCTCCCTTGCTTCTTTCTGCAAACATTGAACGCCTTCTCTGTGCCAGGCAATGTGTTAGACATTGACCAAAAATTAAACCCAGAGAAGTGACTTGCTCAAGGTCACCTAGCAAATCAGTAGCAAACCCTGGGTGAGAATCTGGCTGCTGACTCAGCCTCTCTCTCTCTCTCTCTCTCTCTCTCTCTCTCTCTCTCTCTCTCTCGCTCTGTCTCTCTGTGTGTGTGTGTGTGTGTGTGTGTGTGTGTGTGTGTCAGTCCCATGGAGCCTTCCTGCTGCTGTCTGAAGAGCTAAAGCCGTGGGATTCTGCAATGGAGCAGGGGTGGAGAGGGAACAGCCCTGGTGGCCTGGGAGGGGTCTGCTGGCCTCATGGGCTGGCCAGCTTGCCCTGTCTTTATGTTCATTATTAAATCATCTTTTCTGATGGATGAGCTGAAAAGCACTGTGTCGGGGGATCAGGTGGCCCAGGTGATGGTTTTCTGTGAGATTGATGGTTCCTGAGGGTCAAATTCAGAGAGCAATCCCTTGGGAAAATTGATCCCACAGAAGAAGGGGAAATATCTGGGCTGGAGTGCAGCCAGGAGCCCAGACTGCCCACCCAGGTCCAGATCCAGACTGCCCACCCGGGTCCAGACCCAGACTGCCCACCCAGGTCCAAATCCAGCCTGCTCACCCAAGTCCAGACCCAGCCTGCCCACCCAGGTCCAGATCCAGACTGTCTACCCAGGTCCAGATCCAGACTGCCCACCCAGGTCCAGACCCAGACTGCCCACCCAGGTCCAGACCCAGACTGCCCACCCAGGTCCAGACCCAGACTGCCCACCCAGGTCCAGACCCAGACTGCCCACCCAGGTCCAGACCCAGACTGCCCACCCAGGTCCAGATCCAGACTGCCCACCCAGGTCCAGACTGCCCACCCAGGTCCAGATCCAGACTGCCCACCCAGGTCCAGACGCAGACTGCCCACCCAGGTCCAGATCCAGACTGCCCACCCAGGTCCAGACCCAGACTGCCCACCCAGGTCCAGATCCAGACTGCCCACCCAGGTCCAGATCCAGACTGCCCACCCAGGTCCAGATCCAGCCGGTCCACCCAGGTCCAGATCCAGACTGCCCACCCAGGTCCAGATCCAGACTGCCCACCCAGGTCCAGATCCAGACTGCCCACCCAGGTCCAGATCCAGACTGCCCACCCAGGTCCAGATCCAGCCGGTCCACCCAGGTCCAGATCCAGACTGCCCACCCAGGTCCAGATCCAGCCGGTCCACCCAGGTCCAGATCCAGACTGCCCACCCAGGTCCAGACTGCCCACCCAGGTCCAGATCTAGCCGGTCCACCCAGGTCCAGATCCAGGCAGAGGCTGGTGCCGGGAGGGCATGTGGCAAAGGGGGCTTCTTTCTTCTTCTGTGGCTGCATTTCCTTGGCCGTGGCTTGGCCACAGAATTGGTAAGCAGGGCCATGGGTGGCAGGCATGGGGGCATCTGGCTTAGTGGCCCCTTTCCTGGCCTTCTTTGTCCCCATGGTATGGATGCAAAGCCAGCACTGAGAGAGACGCAGGGGGCAGGTGGCTGTGAGATCCAGCTTTAGTACCATGCAGCCCCGGGTGCCAAGCCTGCTTCTTCCACCCAGAGCCCTGGCCCTTGACCCATCTGAGCCTCACATTCTCACCTGTAAAGTGGGAAGGACAGTGCGTTCTGGGTTTTCATGAGGATTTGATTAAGAATGCATAGCGTCCGTCCACGTATGAGCGCTCAGCAAATTATTTCTATGTGCTTGCTTATTTATTTCATTTACTTCATCTCCCAAGGGCCTTCCAGAATAGGGCAGAGAAATCACAGAAGGCTGGCAGCCTGAGGCAAGGAGGGGAAGGGTGTGCCTCTGTCTGGGGGAGCTGTGGGGTGGCTGCAGTTCCAGGAGCCTGTGTCTGTCCAAGAGCCAGCAAACTGAGACTTTTCAGGCTCTGCCCACTGCCTGCTTGAGACCCTTCCTAAAGTGGGGTTCACCGGCTGTGTGACCTTGGGCAAGTTGCTTAACTTCTCTTGCCTCGTTTCCTTGTCTGTGAAATAGAGATAGTAGTAGTATACTCTGCATAAGGTTCCTATGAAGAGGTGATAACTTCACTCATTGAAAGCTCTGAGGATCCCTGGCCCTAGGAGCTCTTAAGTATAAGAAATGGAAAACTGGCATGTCCTGGGCACCTGTTTGTCTTATGCAAGAGCTTTGTAGACTGTCTTGCAGCTGATCCTTCCAACAACTCCATGAGGCGGTGTTACTGCCATCCTTATTTTACAGATTAGGAAACTGAGGCCGAGTGAAATTCAGCAACTTTCCTGAGGTCACACAGTCGTTGGCAGAAGATCCTAGGCCAGTGGGGCCCGGGGGATGGGGCTACCATCTCACAGTCACCCAGAAAGACAAAAGGAAGGCACACAAACCCCAGTGGGCACTGCTCTGTGCCAGGGCTTTTGTTTCGACCCAGCCGCGATGAGCGTGGGTGATATGGCCGGTGTGGTCCACATCTCTCCTCAGGGCCAGGGTCAATGGTGTTTGTAGCAGCCTGTGGCATACGCAAGATATTGTTTCCCGCTCTTCAGGTGAGAAAAGCGAGATTCGGTTGGTTAAGAATTTGTGCAGGCCACACAGCTGTGTGCAACATGAGCCGGGCAAAAGCCCCGCCCAACAGCACCACGAGGGCTCCCGGCTTCTGCCACATGGGCCACCCAGGAACACAGACGCTAAGTTTGGCTCTGAATCGAGCTGCCTGGATTCAAGTCCTGCCTCTGCCCCTTATCAGCTGTGGAACCTCAGGCAGCTCACTTCGCCACCCCAGGTCTCAGTTTCCCCATCTGCACAATGGAG